ATTAAGTCTTCTTTGAATGTTTGGTAAAATTCTCCAGAGAAGCCATCTGGTCCTGGACTTTTATTTTTTGGGTAGGTATCATCTTCTTGTGGATGTTGAGACTGTCTCCACTGCCTAGAGGTAGGGTCTCCACTGTGTTTGCAGGACTCTCCAGGTGTAACAGGAGTGATCCAGGGGACCACCATCAGAGCTGCATGGAGGCCCATTTTGCCTATGTAACCAACCACTTCCTTCCCTTCTTCAGCTCGGCTCCAGGGTGTCCACGGGTAAGTGCAAACTCTGCAGCCTTTGTGAGTGTGAACGAGGAACTCCCCCACCTGCTTCTAAACTGTCGCCCTGGACATCTCACCAACGGTGCCCAGATAAGGAAACCTCTAGGCTGAGAAGAAAGCCTCCTTGTCAGTTACTTAGGGAGATAAGCAGCCCCTAAATTTCTTCTTGCCCCAGGGAATACAGTACTGAACCTCGGGGTTCAAAGGGCAGGCTCTTCTCTGGACACAGCTCCAGGAATTAAGTCAGCAGTCAAGACTTCCTCTCCTTCCCCATTCCTGGGACCTTTCCCCTGAGGGATGGGGCGAGGGTGGGCATGTGAGGGCTAGGGGAGGAGCAGTGGCGGCACCAGTTTGGGTGATGAAAACCCTCGGAGCCTAGGATGCAGCTGGGAAAAACAAAGGCCTTTGAGGGAGGTGGAGCATGGTGGAAGAGGGGGCACTAAGTTCAGAGCTCTCCACTGCAATGGGGGGAATTTGTCAGCAGAAGGCAGTAGAGACTTCCTCCTGTCTCCTCTCCCTCATCAAATGCGGTGACTGTGCCAGACTTCGCTATCTTCCTCCCCACACAGGGAAACTGAGGTCACCCAGAGAGCCCTTCCAAGGGTAGTCAGGTCAACATGGGGTATGCTGAGGCCTCCAAATTTTCTCTAGTCCAGGGTCCCACTAACCACAGAAAAAGAGAATGGCACACCAGAATTACGGTAGGTAATAATATTTACTGAAAACTCGGCCACATTCAGTACTGGTTTGGTGGATACATCAGAAGGAGGTTGCATAACATTAGGCGGGTGGAGGGGGCTGGGAGGAGGACACGCAGGGGCACGTGTGTGCGGGTGTGCCTGTGCTGGGGTGGGACGCCTGTCCAAAGTGGTAAGTGGAAGGGTGTTTGTGTGTGTGTGTGTGTGTGTGTGTGTGTTTTAACAAGACAAAAGAACCAGAAAAGGCAATGTCTTTTATCCCACTGCACGTTGCAAAAGTCTCACGCCAAAAAAGCTAGACTTTCCTCTACCTATAGCATCAAAAGGGAGTAAAAAATGATTGGATCACCCAGATTATAAATAAGGTTATTTGTTTCTCAAAAATCCCTATTAAAACATTAAATATCAGCTCTTTTGGGGGAGAAATACATTCATTTCAGGGAGACCTCAGGAAAGCAACCATCCTTTTGCTCCGCCCCAACCAGGTGGGGGAGGGGAAGCCCCACAGGGCCCTGAGGGTCCCCTCAAGTTGAGCCAGGCAGCCACTCACATCCTGCCACTGAAGGAGATGGCTGATGCACAATTTACAAATGAAACTGCAGGTCCATTAAATTAAATCCAATGGAAAACACACGTGTCATCAGTCCTGTCATTCATAGCCATGGGGTGAGAGGGGCCGGGAAGAGGGGGTGCCAATCATGATGGCCTGGAAGTTGGGGTGGGAGTGTGTGTGTTAGGGCAGATGGTGGACAGCCTGCTGCTCACGGGGCCCCAGTTCCTCCTGTGCTGTGTATGGTGGTAGTGTGTAGAACAGTGAGGCAGGCAGGGTGGGGCACCAATTGGCTCCTGGGTCCGTTTCTCTGGGCCCTCCCCCACCTTTGGATATTGAAGGGAGGAGGGATGTAGCACCTTCTCCAGCCCCCGGCTTCCCATTGGGCTGGATGCTTCTTTCCAATGTTTCTTCTGCCTTCTCTGAAGGATAGAATGAAGAAGAGAGGACAGAGGCCGATGGAGCCAGCCTGGGAGCAGAGGGACGGCCATGAGGGACTTGAGGGGTGGACAGATTCCAAGCTAACCTGGCTCCACCCTCTCTGATGGTCTATGAAGGGGGTAGAACATCTGAGGAGCTCCATCTGAGGGCTGGAACATTTGGGATAAGACACCACTGTCCTGTTGTTATAGAAGCTGAGTTCTGCGACCACCCAGGGATGGCTGTGGTCCCCAAAGTCACCTTGATATGGCTCCTAGCCCAGGTTCAGCCATCTCCTTGGGTCCTGGAGCCAACCCAGGTGAAGGGACTCCTCTTAACCTCCTACAATCTGAGCCCACCAGCTCACCGTCTGTTTCTAGGGGAGAGAGGAGGCGGCTCTGCTCACTCCCATCCCTCTCTCCCAAGTCCATGGCTGCCCCTGCCCAGAGTAGGGTCTTGGAGGAATGAGCTGGAGCCTGAAGGAATCCAGGCCCCACTCAGATCTGCAAGATGTGATGTCTCAGGTCCCCCCACTCCTCCAGCCACTGGTTATGTTTTTGGGCTCCCTCCCACCCTTGAATGTCTCTCAAAGGAGCTAAGAACCTTCTGAGGGTAAAACCCAAACCCCCTTTGTCTCTCCCTTTCCTCCTAACTCTGTCCCCTGGCAAAGGTTCACTCTGCCAACAGCACCGATCCACCTCACAGTGCAGGGCTTGTAAACAACTCAAGTCCTTCAGTGGAGGGCCATGGATGCCATTTGTCCTCAGGGATTTGGTGAGTCCAGATCTCACTCCTGCCTTTCCATACAGGCTACGTGACTGGCTCCGCTAGATGGAGTCCTCCGCAGTTCTAGGGAAGTGGGGCTGGGTCCTCATCGAAGCTTGGTGGTTGGGAGGGAGCAGGTGTCTCTTCTGCATTTCTTCAAGCTACTGATTTTGGGAAGCTAAGGCCCAACTTCCTTGGTGCTGCCTGCCCATGTCCCCTTCCCTCGCACCCTGAAGCCCTTCTGACGACACTCCTCTCCTGCTTGGTGATCAGTGCCATCTGGGCTGCCCGACTACTCCAGAGAGTCACTGTGTTCCAAGCCCAGGTCGCTGACATTCGTCGTCTGCAGCTCGTCGGCCTCCTCCTCCAGGTCCTCTTCTTCTTCCTCTTCCATCTCATCCTCATCCTCTTCTTCTGTCCCATCCAGTGAGTCATCGTGTGCAGCCATCATAGCCTGCTGCATAGCCATGGTGGCATTGTCTGAGGACAGGGACTGCAGGTTGTCCAAGTTGATGGAACCTACGTGAGACATGAAGGCAGGGGTCAGGCCCGGGAAACTCAGTGTTGGACCAAGTTGATGGGGTGGTGAGCTCCTAAGCCGGACAATTCCCTGGTATGAAGGCTCTGTCCACTCACTTGTCAGCCATGCCCTGCCCCATCCCAAGCAGCAGCACTCCTAGTTACCATTTCCTGAGAATCTTATATTTATATGTGTTACACACTTTTGACTTTCTAAGAATTCTGTAAGGTAGGTATTATTATCCCCATTCTACAGAGGAGGAAACTGAGTCTCAGACAGTTAAGTCTGTCAAGGTCACACAATCAGTCTTGATAGAGTTGGGATTCTATCCCACGCTGGTCTAGCTCAAATCTATTGATTCCCACTATACCTCATATGATGATTGCCTCCCACACAGGAACCCATACACAGCCAGATAAATGCACGTATACATGAAGGTATGCACACACACACGCACACCTCCACTCCACTTCCCACATAGAGCTATCTCCACATGCCAAGCTATAAAATATCTGGCTCATTGAATTATTCATTTTGCACCAGGTGACCGGCAATTGGAAAAGTGTATATGGAGGGTGTGATCGAGAAGCTGGGAAAACAAAGCTCTTCCTGGCCTCCATTCACAAGCCAGCTGCCTGCCTCGGTATTTATAGATGGCCCTGGCTCTTAGGGAACTGTGCAGACACTGATTGGCGTTAAGGAACTTAGGGTGGGTGTGGGAGTGAGAGGGGGGCTCTGCAGAGTAGTCATTAACTCAGATGACCATAGACTCCCACTCGTCTCTGTGAGATTGCTTTCGGCTTGTTAAAACATATGCAAAAACATCCCCTTCTTTCAGGCTTACACACATCCTTTGATGGAGATCAGGTAGGGATAACTATTGTGACAGAGGGCCACTGCCACTCAAGTGAGTGAGTTCAGCCCTTGAATCTTTGCACAGCCTATCCTGAAGGAGCTCCAGGAGGTCCCCCACCAGCCAGCCCCCAGCCTAGAGTACACCCAGCCCCAGTTCTTACCATCGGGGTTTGTCCCTGGGGCACCACCCTGCTGCTGCAGCACCCCCGCAGCAATGGAGTTGGGCCAGAATCTTTGGGTGGGCCGGTGCTGTGACTTGATCTTCTTGGCTTTAGGGGCAGGGTCTGGGTTGCTGGCATCAAGCATGGGCTGCAGGATGCGCCTCCGGGCATTGATGAACCTGCCCAGAGGTAAAGGTGGAGACCTGGTTAGTCACCCCCTGGGTGGTGGTGGGGGGTGTGTGCATGTGTGTGATCATGCGTGTGTGCAGAGAGCGCTAAGCTACTTCCAGCCTCTCAGCAGCTGATCCATTGTAGAGAACAGCCTGGGGTCTGCTCTAGGGTGTAAAAGCCCAGCTAGGAGAAGAGCCCTGGGCACTGAGAAGCTCCTGAAGTCACCTGGGGCTTGGTAACCATGAAGCAGCTTGGGACAAATGCGTGAGGAAGGTCAGAAATCTTGGCTCAAGACTTGTCAGGACTGAACAGAGGAAGGAAAGAGCCCCCTTAGTCAAAGGCACTAACTTCTGACTTCTCTCCAGAGGGCTGTGGGCTCAGATCAGAGGCCCCAGCTCTTGGGTCCACTCCCATCCAGCCAGACCTTGCTCTCTGAGATTTCTATGACAGCCCACCCAAACACAGAGAAGGGGGAAACTGAGATCCTGGTGGGGTCAGAACAGCCTACTCTTCCTCCTCCATCCCACTCCCAGCTTTGCAGAGTGTTTCAGTTTGTGTTCAGCTCACTTGGGTGGAGGTAGACCAGATGACTACAGTGGCCCCTCCAGTTCTCAGAACCAGGTGTTCCTGTGTGTCTCTGCAGTACAGGTGGGGCTGGGTTTTCTACTCAGCCAGAAGCTTCCAGTGATGCTGCTGACACAATTTCCCAGCAGAGGGCGCTGACAAGCCGCAGATGAAGCTATAGACACCAGTGTTGATTCTGTCTTTCTGCTTCTAGCCCAAATGGGAGGACTGGCATGGCAGCTGGGCTAAGACTGAGGCAGGACTGGGCATTCTAGCCTCTTTTCCCTGCTATGCATTCTCTGGCTGAGCAAGTGGCTCCTGGATCTGAGAGCCTTTCAGCAGGTGATGCTAACTCACCAGTTATTTACTTGCAGGAGGGTAAGGTTTGTCTGGGCTGCAATCTGCCTCTTCTCATCCTCCGTGGGGTAGGGGTGCTGAAATGAGAGGTGAAGGGGTAATGAGGGGTGGGCACGTGGTGGCCTGGTCCTCCTAGAGACCACACCCATATCACAGGCACTATCCTGGGCCAGGCAGTTGCAGTGGTTTAGAAGCCCAAACTGGGAAAAGTGTACTGTTTGTTCCCCCCAAAAAACGAGCCCAGAGCTGGGAGGGAGGCCACCCCGTGTCTGTGGCTCCACCTTCAGGGCCCCCGGCCCTCAGCCCAGCCCCCCATGATGGGGGCCAAGGTGGTTTCCCAAGAGTCAGTAAAGTTCAATATTGTAGCTTCCCAGGCACTTGCCCATCCTTCTCACTTGGTCCTCACAGCCACCCCCCAGCAGGCAGGCAGGCATTATTAGTGTTAGGATTCACAATGGCATCAAAAGCCCACAGGACGATCACAGGTGATAGATAAATGGGGTGAATGAATCAATTCAATTTAAATTAACTGATATTTACTGAATATCTACTATGTGCCCAGATTTATGCTAGGCATCTTAGGAGACAGAAGTCGGAGACTACTACTTGTATAGTACTTTATAACCTGTAAAATGTTTTCATGCATTTCATTTCATTTAACAACGCATATCATTAAAACTCATAAGATAGGCAGATTAGGCATTGTTATTCCCACTTTACAGATGAAGAAATTGAATGACTTCTCCAATGTCCCTCAGATGGCGGCACCAGCTTGGAACTCAGTTCAGATTTGGGTCCAGTTTTCCTCCCATTCCTTCATGATGCCACTGAGTCAGTGTCTTTGTGGGATGAGTGAGGAAGTGGTAAGCTACCTGCCAGAGTCCTCAGTGCACTTCAGTCCATGCACCTGTTACGTCTGTCTCCCTCTCTTCGATTGTGCTTCATGAGGGCAGAGACCATGTCTTATTAATGTATCCCCAGTGCCTTCCACGTGCAAATGACGTACAAATGACTGCTGAGTGAAAGAAAGCAGACACCAAGCAATAGGTGCTATGGTTTGGGTAACCAGCATTAGAGAAGATTAGAAGAAGGAGAAACGGGTCTTGGCCAGAGTGCAGGGAAGGCTGAACAGGTCACATTGAAGAATAGGAAGGTCTGGGGTGGCAGTGGGAAGGGGGTCCTTCTGGCTCCCACTGGGTGGTGAGCCACACTATAACTGGGTCTATGCGTCTTCGTGTCTTTCTCAGGCTCCGCACAAGACCTGGCACCCATGCAATAAAGGTGTGATGAGTGTCTGAATGGTTAGGCCTGGCCCTGGAAGCTAGGGGAGATTTGGGGGCTCTTCAGGCAGAGGGCCAAACCATCCAGCATGCTCAGGCCAGGATCACTCCTCATGGCTGAGGTGGATACAAAGCAGTACTTGGGCTTTCTGAAGTCCCAGAGACCAGGACTCAAATTTGGGCTCTATCATGACAAGCTGTGAGATCTCAGGCATGTCACTTAACCCTACATCATAAAGTCATCTAATGATTAAATGAAATTATACTTGTAAAGTGCTCAATAAGAGGCGGCTCTTCATACTATTATTATTGGATGATGTCGGCAAAGGGCTTAAAGCTCTCTAAGGAATGAGTTTGAGATCAACAGCCTTGGTACTCCTCTCATTGTCAGTGAGAAAGGAAAGCAACCTCTTGGCGTGCCCTGACTGAAGCAATCAGGATCATGTGTTGTTTTAATTCACACCTCTGACCCCGACCGCTCTGCTAGGGCAGCTGGGACTTGTGATTCATACAATATTAAGATTCTAACAAGAAGGGAAGCACATCAGTGTCACAGGAGCCAATTTCATCCTAATTGGGAAGGAGCAGAGGGAGGCTGGGAGGAGAGACTGCAGGCCCCGAGGGGCAGAGGAGCAGGGGCTCTGTGCGTTCTCACACCTTCTGGGAAGGGGTGGTGCCCAACTCTTACTCCCTGACTCCGTGGAGTTCCAATCTCCCTCGCCATGAGGAGCCAAGCAGCCTCCCTGTCCGTGGCCGGTCTGAGAACACAGCAAAAATATGGCAACTTTCTGGCCTTCCCTGGCCCCACTAGGCTCTTTTATGTCTTCATGCTTTTGCACATACTGTTCCCTCCACTGGAATGCTCTTTCTCCCACTTTTCCACTGCACGCGTTTTGAGCTTCTGTAAAGACCAGTCACAGATCAAACCCTCTGTGAGGCTTTCCCCAGCTCCCTGGGGCAAAGTCAGTCACCACTGCATTTGAATAATTGCATTTAGCCCACTCGGTGGTAATGTGCATCTCCCCACTATCCTGGGAGTTGCTTTCAGGCAGAGACTTGGTCTTATCAGACATTGTATCTCGTGTCCAGACCAGTAACAGACAGAGTAGATGTTCAATGTCTGTGTATGGAACAGATGAGTGAACCAACACAAGAAGATGGCCGAATTGTTTCCTGAGCAGAGCAAGGCTGGCCTTGCCAACTGTGCTGATTCATCAACCCACAAATGCTGGGAATCTGCTGCATCCTGGGTACCCGCAAGTGAAAGATACCTGCTTGTAAGAGCTCACAGCTTAGAGAGAAAGGCCACAGACAAAGGAACACACCCGCTATGAAAAGGTGGTGTGTAAGTACCCACTGGGTGGTAATTGAAGGGTGGGCTGCACTGCTCAGAGAAGGCTTCCCCAAGGAGGTGGGACTTCAGGTGGACTTTGAAGAACAGCCAAGCCAGTTTAGTAAAGGAGGGGATGGGCATTCCAGGCTGCAGCCTTGCACTAGGACTTATATTTAAGCCAGTCAGATGCAAATCTCTTCCACTATTAAAGACCTCCAGAGAAGGAAATCCTTCAGCCTCTCACAGAAGGATGATGTTTGCTGTCTCTAAGGAGGCTTCTAATGTGGGCCTCCCTTCTGACCGGATGTCATAAATCCATAGATTAACATACTCCCATTTAATGCAGACAGATAAGAGGCAGTGTCACCAGAAGTTGCAGGTTGTTCTCTTATGGATAAGGATATAAACCTCTTATCCTCCCTCAGTGCAAGTCCCACGACCCACCCCTCCTGGGACCAGTGTCTCAGGAGGCACGGAGTGGAGGCCATGGGGTGAGTAGCAGCATTTGGGCCAGCTTTGGGGACAGTTGTGTCGGCCAGAACATTCCTGGCATCACATCTGGGTGCTTATGAGAGCAGTCCAGCTTGCACTTGCCTGAGACCAGATGATTCCTGAGGACAGAGTCAAAATGGTCCTGGCCCCTGGACAGACCTCGATTTGGTCAGTGCTACTTTTAGCACAATTGGAAAGGCTCGGGGCCAAGGACGAGAAGAGGAATCAGATGAGACGGTGGTAAGCCATCAAGCCATGGTATCTGCTCTCTGATCACTATTTGGAGGAACTTCCTTGGAGTTGGGAGGGAAGGGCACAGGCAGCAGCTCTCTGGAAGTAGATAATTCTTCCTTGAAAAAGAGATACAGAATGGACCAGAAAATGACAGACCCTTCTCAGGGCCAGCGTGGAGCCTCCCATGACTAGGCAGTGCTGCCTGGTGGTTAAGAGCATGGCCTTTTGAGAAGTCAAGTCCTGCACTCACCACTTATCAGCTGTGTGACCTTGGCAATTTGTTGTTTTATGTCTTCCATCCTTAGTTTCCTCAGCTTAACATGGAAATAACAAAATCGTGCCTACTCCTTGGACTTTGGGGATGATTTAATGAGATAATGCTGGTAAAGCATGTATGCTCCATTGACTCACTCTGCCCAAGAATAGTGAAGCCTCCCAGACATCGTATCGTTGACTATTCAAAGTCTCCAGAGAAGGGAATGGCAATATTTATACTGAGTAGGCATTTCATGACACTGCCATCAGGAAGTTCCTCTGAAATCTAACCTAAACTCTTTCCCACCTCTCTCTGACACCTCCCTATATAGCTCCATAACTCAAGTCTCATCTGTGCTAAACTGAAGCTGAAAGCATCTTTCAGTTTGGATGGCGGGTTCCCCCCAGGGTTCTGGGTCTGAAAGAAGCTTGGCCAGAGCTGGTTCATAGGTCCCTGGCCACACCTTTCATTCAAAGCCCACCCTGAGACTGTCCTTTCACCTCCTAGTCCATGCAGATGAGCAGGAGGCCAGCTAGGTCACTGAGGGACACCACACATGGATGCAGCAGATGGTGGAGCAGGGCTTGGAGCCAGCTCTCCTTTCCCACCTTCCCACTGTGACCAGCACCGCGCTGGAGCCAACCACAGCCTCCCTCCCTTCTCACTTGCTCACTCACTCACTCACTCCCTTCTCACTCCTGATCAACTATCGGCCGTGTGGCCTACTGTGGCCACAACTCTGCTGGCATGGCATTGCTCGAGGAGGGTCAGAGGCGAACCAGAGGGAGGCAGCCAGGACACGGAGGGGCCCTGAAACAACCACATTTCATCACCTCTAAGATGCCATCGACGGCAGGGTGCACCTTGATTTCAGAGATGCTAAAATGGAGAAAACAAGCCTTTCAGAATGGAGAGAAGCACAGTAAGTCACCCAAGGAATTTCTCTTTCCTAGTGTAATTGCCCTTGCTCAGGTCTTTCATTCTTTTATTTTCTCTTTCTTTCTCACTCCCCTCCTCACTTACAATTGTGCACACACAGAAAGGTACAAAGAACTAAAATCTACTGCTGCATATACTATTGCAAACACTCATGTGACCACCACCTAGGTCAAAAAATAGGATATCCCCAGCACCCCAGAAGCCCCTTTTCTGGCCCCTCCCAATCACTACCCCTAAAGATATCCTCCCCGAAGATAATCTAGTTTTTATGGTAATTACTTTCTTGCATTTCTTTATAGTTTTACCACCTATGTTACATCTTTAACCATTATGGCTTAGTCTTGCCTAGTTTTGGAACCCTATATAAATGGAATCATACAGCATGGAATATTTCATTCCACAGTACGGTTGTGAGATTCATCTATGGTTGTTCTGTGTAACTAGATATTCATTTTCATTGCTGTATAGTTTCCATTGTAAAAATCTACTGCCTTCCCATTCTTCACCCTCCTGCAATCTCAAAACTATTCTCCTTCCCTTTCG